TTTCGCGTATTTATTGCTGATTTAAGTCGATACTGATACAAGTAGTAATCAAATTCCTTTGCAAATACCAAAACTCACCATTAAACTAATCGATTCTGTCTCAATAAATTCCGCAGCTTGTCGATGATTGGCCACGATTCATCGCGATAAAACGGCAGGAAGCGAACAGGAACCATCGACAACTTCGTCCCACTTTAAAAATCCGATAATTTCCAATAGACCAGAAGTAGGAAAGGTCAGTTTCGAATGAGAACTATGGGTTAAATACTATCAAGTTATTCCTGGGCCGAAACGAGTTGCGTGCGGATCTATGACTGGAAATCTCACAACAAATAGCACTTCCATTTATGTAATTGTTTATTGCGACATGGAAAGTTGTTTCACTGGAGACACTTTATTGTTATTGCTGTTTGCTGATTTGCGAGACAATGCTTGAAGAACGCCTTCGTTCTTCAAATGCTCTTTATTGCCTGATTCTTCTTTCAGACAACTTGACCGTTAGCCAAATATTTAGTTGTTCTCAATTCCTTGATGTTACTTATGAAAGAACAGAGTAACTCGTAAACCTCCAGAAGGAAACCGTAGTTTAATTCATTCAAATTCAGTTAAAATTCTTTTGAAAGACCAAAGTTTTCACGTTTTTCGATTGTCTGCAGTTTTCTTTGGAAATTTCCGGCATGTTCAAATGCATTCATTTTCCGTTTCCTTCGGTTTCACAACATCAGGTTTTCAGCAAAATGTTTCGCGCAAAATCTCCAGCTCAGTTTTTTTTTAAATTACTTTCCAGCATCTTCAAATGTATTGCATCACTTGCTTTCGTTTTATTTTTGCACATTGAAAATATCTGAAAAATCCGCCAGGTTTTGATCTAAATGGTTTCAACTTTCTGAATTTGCTTTAATATTTTCGCTAGTAATTCGGTTTTCTTCTTTTCTTCAGAAACTTCTGCACCCTCAACTAGATTTTAAAGATAAATTCTTCAATTTCTTCCATGATCACAATCAAAATCAAAATAATCTTCAGTTTAAGTTTCTAAGTTTTCAGTTTTGAAAATTCATTTGCATATTTTTGTCTGTGGTTTCATTTTTTTCGGAAATTTCGCGGAACTTTCAAATACATTTTAAAACCATAGATCTTCACCTTCTTTGATTTTCTGCATATTTAAAATTTGTAAAAAAATCACCAAATTCTAAGCCATAAACCTGCGAGTTTGTAAAATCTAAAATTTACTCGAATATTTCCGCCTATAGCTAAGTTTTTTTTGAAAATTTTCGGCATCTGCAAATGGCACTTGAAAGTTGAAATTCCTCACGGTCTTCTGTTTCTTGCATATTTAAAATCGAACAAAGATTCACCAAGTTCTGAGCCAAAAACCTGCGAGTTTGCAAAATTCAAAATTTACTCGAATATTTCCGCCTATAGCTAAGTTTTCCTTGAAAATTTCAGGCATCTTCAAATGGCATCTGAAAGTTGAAAATCCTCACTTGTCTCCTGTTTCTGGCATATTTAAAATCGAACAAAGATTCACCAAGTTCTGAGGAAAAAACCTGCGAGTTTGCAAAAGTCAAAATTTACTCGAATATTTCCGCCTATAGCTAAGTTTTCTTTGAAAATTTCCAGCTTCTTCAAATGGCACCTAAAAGTTGAAAATCCACACTGTCTTCTGTTTCTTGCATATTTAAAATCGAACAAATATTCACCAAGTTCTGAGCCAAAAACCTGTGAGTTCGTAAAATTCAAAATTTACTCCAATATTTCCGCCAATAGCTAAGTTTTCTTTGAAAATTTCCGGCATCTTCAAATGGGACCTGAAAGTTGAAAATCCTCGCTGTCTTGTGTGTCTTGCATATTTAAAATCGAACAAAGATTCGCCAAGTTCTGAGCCAAAAACCTGCGAGTTCGCAAAATTCAAAATTTACTCGAATATTTCCACCTAAAGCTTCATTTTCTTTGAAAATTTCCGGCATCTTCAAATGGCATCTGAAAGTTGAAAATCCTCGCTGTCTTGTGTGTCTTGGATATTTAAAATCGAACAAAGACTCACCAAGTTCTGAGCCAAAAAGCTGCGAGTTCGTAAAATTCAAAATTTACTCGAATATTTCCGCCTATAGCTAAGTTTTCTTTGAAAATTCCCGGCATCTTCAAACAGCACCTGAAAGTTGAAAATCCTTACTGTCTTCTGTTTCTTGCATATTTAAAATGGAACAAAGATTCGCCAAGTTCTGAGCCAAAAACCTACGAGTTTGCAAAATTCAAAATTTACTCCAATATTTCCGCCTATAGCTAAGTTTTCTTTGAAAATTTCCGGCATCTTCAAATGGCACCTGAAAGTTGAAGATCCACACTGTCTTCTGTGTCTTGGATATTTAAAATCGAACAAAGACTCACTAAGTTCTGAGCCAAAAACCTGCGAGTTCGTAAAATTCAAAATTTACTCGAATATTTCCCCCTATAGCTAAGTTTTCTTTGAAAACTTCCGGCATCTTCAAATGGAACCTGAAAGTTGAAAATCCTCACTTGTCTCCTGTTTCTGGCATATTTAAAATCGAACAAAGATTCACCAAGTTCTGAGCCAAAAACCTGCGAGTTTGTAAAATTCAAAATTTCCTCGAATATTTCCGCCTATAGCTAAGTTTTCTTTGAAAATTCCCAGCTTCTTCAAATGGCACCTGAAAGTTGAAAATCCTCACTGTCTCGTGCTTCTGGCATATTTCAAATCGAACAAAGATTCACCAAGTTCTGAGCCAAAAACCTGCGAGTTCGTAAAATTCAAAATTTACTCGAATATTTCCGCCTATAGCTAAGTTTTGTTTGAAAATTCCCAGCTTCTTCATATGGCACCTGAAAGTTGAAAATCCTCACTGTCTCCTGTTTCTTGCATATTTAAAATCGAACAAAGATTCACCAAGTTCTGAGGCAAAAACCTGCGAGTTTGCAAAATTCCTCCAATACGTTTCAAAGATGAAAACCTTTCCTTGGGGTCGATTTCAGCTATAGAAAATATCAGGTTTTAGATTGTGAAGTTTCCCTTATAAATCTGGCTGTTGCTCTGTTTTCTTCAGGAATTTTCGCACCTTAAAGTTCATTTAAAGCTAAAAATCCTCGCCTTATCTGCTTATAAACTGAATCTGTTTTGGAAAAAAGTTGGACACAACTATGGAAGTTGCTCATTTCGATTGCAACTTTTCATGTTTCGTCACACTTAAGAAAATGTCTTCAATGCTGCAAATTTCCCGTCTGCAATCGCCCACACATGTTACCTAGACGAAACTCGGCAGGCGAATAAACTGGCCGCCCATAAAAAGGCGTGGTCCCAAAATTCCTGTGAGAGGCGCATTTGCCAAACACAGCAGGCAAAACCCTTTCTCACATTGGCCGGCAGGATGTCCCGATCTATCACCCATCGATTGATTGGCACTAGATTTAACCAGTCCCAAAACACGCGCTTACTAAACTGTTATGTAAAAATGGTTGGTTTCATTTTGTCTAGGTTTTACTCCGAAGTTTAATATAAGAAGGAATTGAAAAACAATCCAAAATATGCTCAAATAGTTGAAGACCAAAACAAGGCAACAGCAATAAAATGAGTTTGAACTACATAAGTCTGGAGCCATCGGAGGCCACCACAAGTCCCATCGATTATTAAGCGACCTACTCGACAGCCGCTCTCATAATTGCTCTAGAGGAGAAAAAAAGATAATTTTGCACACCGAGTTGCACGGTTTAACCCAAATACCTTAACAATGGCACTTCAGCAAGCCATTGTCACAGAAACACTGACACGGAATGCAAATAAATAAAAGCAAAATTGCAAATTGTTGCACTCGACAGTGGTACAATTTGCATTTTTACCTGCTTTGCCGGATAATTGTAATACTTATTTCTGCGTTTAGTTACTGTTATTATAACTGCTGATCTCACTTTCTGATTGTCGAGTTAGTTGTTTTGGTTTTCGTCGCTTCACGTGCAAGAAGGCCCTGGCAAACTCGCAAAGACAAACTAATCGACAGTTCCACACCCAACCGCTCAGCATCATTAACCATCATGTAGCTGAAGAGTTTGCATTTGGCTCGGCCCTAAATCACTCTAGTTAAGCAACAGATGGCTGAACAGTTTTCCTGCTACCTGCTGCAATAAAGTCCGTCTCGGACCAGACGTTAGGATGTTTATCTTCACATTTTCCGCTCGATTACAACAAACGAATTAAGTACCACCCAGATTAGTCAACATAGCAGCTAATTCAAGATCTAGATT